TGTTAAGAATCATAGGGGCTTCTGAAAATTTGTTGTACACGCAAAGTCTTGTTCGTGACAGCGAGCCTCAAAGCCTTGGCCCAAACTAAATAGAAAAACATGGACTTACCCTCACCCCCTTGAAACTTCCTCAGGGAGCTTCAAACCCAACCTTGTATACTCAAATCTTGACTCTTTTAATGCGCTCTCGTGCAGGCGAGGGAGTGGAGGCCATCTAACTTTTCCATGTGATGTGCGCCACGTATCTGATTGCACTGGGAACTGTTCAGGTGCCGGCGTTCATATGTTTTATGCCGCCACCTCGAGAAGTGAAACCAAACGAATCGACACTAATTCCAGTTGCTTAATTTTAGTCTAGGAATTAAGGTAGTTATTTAGAAGAGAAGGAAAACGCTGAGTTCAGACAACTTTTAGGTGTAATAAATAACAACAATGGTGGAGCAATTCACCTTTCCTTTCGCTACCGGTCGGGCCTGCAGAAGAACGATAAACCGAGGTCAAATGCGCGAAGTATTGATGCACAAATCCCTGGCCAATTAGTGAGTATTTTTACAACATTTGAGTAGCACTTCCTGCGTTGATTGGCTTTCGTGTTTGTAGGATCTTTCTTTGTGCACCTGTCTGGGCGACGGGACGAACTTCTATTGCTGGATGAAGGGAACTTGGTTCTTTAAGGCTGTCGGAGTCTGTTGATGAGTGCATTTAATCATCTTACTCTGAGAGATGTCTCTGTAAGTAGGCATTTTTCTTTTCTTCAGAGTTCGATTATTCTGCACTGCCCATGGTGACGGAGACACCAAATCCCTGCGGTGAATAGAGTTCGAAATTCCTCGGCTGCGTCGCTGCTTTTCTCCTTCATACACTATGGCACCGAAATAACGTGATGAAGACTGTATTTCGGTTCTGGTGTGAAATTGTACTTCTAGGACGTCACCAAGTTCTGATCCATTCCGACTGCAGCCATTTTGGACATTGCAAGGTCGCGGTCTTAGGAGAAACGCCACGAATCCATTCGAAGATCATGCTTTTACACTTATTTCTCCATAAATGGCTCTATCAACCACCCTCATTTTTGGAATGCTTCTTTTACCATACGCAGCGCATTCGCACCGTGACGAGGTCCACTTGGGACGCGGTGAACAACGACAGAACCAAATGGGTGTGTTCCCGCAGGATACAAATGCTACTCCTCTAACCACAAAATTACATAGGCTTATCTGAACAGTTCGAGCACCCAACCCACCCTTATACCCCAAGGAGCATCGTGAAATGATTACGTTTTAGCGATATTGACACAGTACTTAGAGTGTTGACTTCCAATTTGACAGCTCTTCGGGATCACACATCAACTGTCGGTTCGAGAACAACGGACTACGGAGAGGGATTCCACACAAGAATTCGCACAGCGTTCGCCAGAGAAATGCCTACACTAGCACAAATACAGCCACTCTATGTGCGGGTCAAGGAGTTTAAACAGCAAGGCTACGCGATTA